GAACCGTACCGTGCCGTACCATGCAGTGGAAAAGCGCCAAAAGTGGCCCAGAGGGGCCCAGCCAGAGCCTGGACTTGAACCCAAACAAACATTTCTGGAGAAACCTGAAAATGTCTGTCCACCGATGGTCCCCATTCAACTTGACAGAGCATGAGAGGATCTGCAGAAAAGAATGACAGAAAATCCCCAAATCCAGGTGAGCAAAGCTTGACACATCATACCCAAAAAGACTTGAGGCTCTAATCGCTGTCAAAGGTGCTTCAACAAAGTTCGTCCCAGGTTACGCATGTAACCATGGTTCCCCGAACGGAACGAGACGCTGCGTCTGAAGACGCTATGGGAACGCCCCCAGCGTGACCACGCTCTGAATAACATGTGTAATCAGTCCAATGGAAGGGCGAGACGTCACGGGACGGGTGATGTCATCGACCAGGAAGCTTAAAAGCATGTGCGGCAGAGCCGGCGTCAGCTTCTAGGAATGAAGCAAGCGCTGGCAGGGATGCCGGAAGTATGGCTTCGAGACGCAGCGTCTCGTTCCCTTCGGGGAACCATGGTTACATGCGTAACCTGGGACGTTCCCCTTCAGGAACTCGAGCTGCGTCCGAAGACGCTATGGGAACGAGATGCCCACGCCACCAGACTGACAAATCCCTGCCTAGTGTATACTAGGACGAGAGAACAGAGGAGCCCGGAGTGGCTTGCATGTCAAGGCCATAGAACCTCATGAACGTTAGGGGTGAGGACCATCCCGCAGCGTTGCAGATGTTCTGCATAGACACACCTGCCAGAAAGGCCTTTGAGGCCGCCATACTTCTCGTAGAATGAGCCTTGACTCCCATCGGCGAGGGGAGATCAGAGGACTTGTAGACAATGTTAATGGCATCAACTATCCACCGACTGAGGGTCTGCTTTGTAGCAGGAAGACCCCTCTTGGGGGGACCATAGCACACGAGCAGTTGGTCACAGTTGGCTCCACAGGGCAGCTCTGTGGATGTACGTGTCCAGTGATCGAACTGTACACATACAGTTAAGCTTCTGCTGGCCGGGCTCCCTAAAGGGAGGAGGACAGAAAGCCTGCAGTACGATAGGCTGTGGCGTGACAGAGGGAACTTTGGGGACATACCCTACTCAAGGGTAAAGAAATGCTTTGGCCATGCCAGGCGCAAAGTCGAGATGAGAAGGGGAGATCCCCAACTCTCTTCAGAGAGGAAATAGCCAGAAGAAAGGCAGTTTTAATTGTGAGATGTCGATCAGATATCTCTTCAATGGGCTCGAAAGGAGCTTTACAGAGAGCCTCTAACACCACAACCAAATCCCACGGGGGAACACAGGACTGTACCGGGGACCTCAGCGCACCTCGGAGGAAACGTGTAACTAGGGGGTATCTGCCCACTGACTGGCCACCAACTGGGGCGTGGTAGGCCGCAATGGCTGCCACGTAAACTTTTAAGGTGGAGTGAGTCAACCCTGCGGAGAATCGGGCCTGCAGGAACTCCAGAACTGTACCAATCGGGAAGTTAGCTGGATCTAGCTTGCAGTCTCCGCACCATGAAGTGAAAAGTTTCCACTTCAGGGCGTACAGTTTCCTCGTCGAGGGAGCTCTGGATTGGAGGATGGACTCAACAACCTCGGTTGAGAGACCGGAAGCTATGAGAGGATCAGGTGCCACACCCACAATTTCCACAACTCCGGGCGGGGATGAAATATCGTGCTCCCTGCCTGTGTAGGGCTCTACAGTGCGACCATTTCAGTCGCATTTGCTACTGCATGCGACTATGAAAAAATATTTAGGAGCACCAGTGCGACTGACCTGATCAG